TTGAAATTAGAAAAAAACAATTTGATCGGTTTTTTATTTTTTTTTGTTTTAAGGAAAATACAACGTTTTTTCGAAAAATATGCATTTTTAGTCATACGATGGTCCTAAATGGTACAAAAAGCTTTGTACATTCTGCATAAGCCAAAAAATTATTGATATAGAGTGTATCTAAAAGTAGATAACTAACACAAATTGAAAAAAAAACTTCAACATCAGAATAATATTTTTATTTGTAAAATAAATAGATAAATTATAATAAAATTTAAGTTTATTTAATATTAAATATATTTTTTGAACACCCTGTATACAACGGTCCAAACTTCTGTTTAGCTAGTTTAAGATACACGCTATATCAGTATAGTGTATTGTGGGCTTATGCAAAATGTACAATGCCTTTTGTACCATTTAGGACCAAATGTATGACTATAAATGCATATTTTTCGAAAAAACTTGTATTTTCCTTAAAACAAAAAATTAAAGAAAAAACAAATTGTTTTTTCTAATTTCAATACAGATTAGTCGTACATAGTTAAAATTTCGATTTTTCAAAAATTGTAAATTTTCGGTAGAAAAAATTCTTGACCAAATTTGTACACTATTATAAAACACTCTGTATACGAGAATTCGCTAAATATATTTTCCACATAGCATCTTAATCACAATAGATGCGTCTAAAACCTGGTTCAAACCGCATCCCAAAATCGGAGAGAGAAAAGAAGAGCATTTATTGTTTACAATCCCGCAATTTTGCGGATCCGCGGGATTGATTGCTTTAATCCCGCGGGTTTGCGGGATTGAGATTTTGGTGCGGGATTGCATTCCCTACCCCTATTACTTTTTTATTTTTTTAGATAAAAAATTAGATTTGGTATGTTAGTATATGACATAAATTAGGATTGATTGACGTATTCAATTTTTTTAAATGGTACCCCCGGTATTTTTTTTACTTTATTCGATAGAAAATGACATTCTAAATAGAATGACGTATCATATGTCAACTTTTGACATATTCGCTTAACAACAAATTGTATTTTAAATTTCAATCTAGAATGCTGGCTGTATTAAAAACATTAATTTTTAATCAAGGAGTCTTGGAAAAATAGATTTGATCGTCTAATGTTTTTAGTGTCTTGCTCTGGCCGGTTAAAAGATGCTCAAATCAAATCGTATTTCTGAACGAGGGTGGATCATTAGCATATTTCGAAAAAAAAAATTTACGAATAATTTGATACCACACACTTGGTAGTTCGAGTCAAATTGTTTATTTTTTATGTTTAATTTTTGTCAATGATTTTTTTACTAAGAGACCTTTTTTACAAATTTTTATTTTATTTTTTTTATAATCTATTCTCTTAATTTTAATAATTTTTTTATTTATCTTTATCTGGTTGTGGAGATGAACAAAATTAACAGGTAAAGATCTTAATTAACGTCTATAATTGACTGAATATTTGTATCGAAGCCCAGCATCAGCAATAGACACCACCTTTATAATACCTTTTATGGATGGATATCTTACAGGATATATTATGAATATGTTTACAAAGAAGATGAATTTGGCGATATCAACTCATGTACGCATAAACTTGTAGTAGAGAGCGCCGGGAAAATATAAATAAATCCTGTCAAGGCTTTCTAACACCGTAAATGTCGAACCGCCACGCCAGACGAGTTCCCCCACATCAAGATCCAACAGGAATTCACTTGGATTGGAAAACCTGGAGAACACATAATAAAATTATCAGAACCGGTGCCGGCGCGGCGTCGCCCGATTAAAAGCCAACCTGATGAAATGAGGAAAACTAAATTAATTTCTTTTTCACAATATTGCAAACTATTATGCACATTTTCTACCTTTTAATTTGTCTTTATTAAATTGTAGGAATAACAGAATGCGAAAGCCAGACTAAATTCAGCAAAAGCAAGAACATTTGACTACTTTTTGTGTATTCTTTTTGATTTTTGATTTTTTTGTTTGGACAAAGTATGTGTGTCTTCCTATAAACTTCGGAATTCAATTACTGTAGATGTATTAATGTGAAACCTTCTGTATTGTGTTTTATAGATAAAATACTAAAATGTTTACCCATTTTTTTTCGTTGCTTTTAATTTTTTATTTAAGTAAATTCTTACTTTTCTTCTTAATTTGTTTTTTTTTCAAATGTTTAAGCATATTTTTGAAATAAATGAATCTAATGCATAAGCTATACCTATTCTGCTTATACTCTAATCATTGAAATTTTGATTGAAATCGAATTATACACGATTATACAGGGTGGCGCCTCATATACGATGCGGTTTCTGCAAGGAGAACAACAGTTTATATTGAAGTGAAATTTTGTTTGAGTTTATGTAAGCATTTTCTAAAATTATATAGAGTTCTACAGGTCTCAAAAAAGTTTACACATCAGAGTTGTGTTTTTTGTAATGGAACACCTTATATATTAATTGATTTTCGGATTCTAGGAAAAAAAAATAAGGTGAGTTTCATTAGAAAAGTATATGGCTAAAATGTAAAGTTTTTGAAATATTTAGCATTTTCTAAAAATGAAGAATAAATTTTAATTCTCTGCCCTTAAAAATCCTTAATTTGAGAACGACTGGCTACCGTGTCGGCTCCAACTTCATGAAAGGTTTTAAGAAATTCGAACTACAACTGGGTAAGAATGAGGAATATGAAGATAAAGAAAATTGGGATTTAGAATTTAAAAATATTTCAGAAAATCTGGAAGGAATGGAATAATATCACAATCTCATTACACATTCGATGTACTTCACACACGTTGAATCTTATATAATTCCAATATATTCAAAAAGATGTTACATTGAGGCCTCGTCATATAAATATTTTGGCAAAATGCAATGTTCTGTGGTAAATGGCAAGTCGACCCAAAAGCTCAGAAATTATTCAAGGACCCTTAGTCCACACATTAAGTTATCGAGGGCCAACACGCTGGAATTCTCTATATGATGCTAATATAAATTATTCAAGAAAAAGACTGTTTAATAGAGGTATTCGAAAAGATGGGTATTAAAAATCAGATGCTCAGGCATGCTGAAATTGCTTCTTTAACTGACTACTGCCGAATCTCGAAACATTTAGCAAATTCAATTGACAGTTTACGAGGTGAAAATGTACACAAACATACAAAGAAGGTGAATTTGGTGATATCAACTCATGTACGCATAAACTTGTAGTAGAAAGCGCCAGGACTATATAAAAAAATCCTGTCAACGCTGTCTAAACACCGTAAATGTCGAACCGTCAGACGAGTTCCCCACATCAAGATCCAACAACAGGAATTCACTTGCATTGGAAAACCTGGAGAAAATTAATATTAAGAGTTAAAACCGGAGTCACCCGATTAAAACCCAACCTGAAGAATTGAGGAAAACTATAAATGATTTCATTTTTCACAATATTGCGAACTATGATACATATTTCCTACTTTTTAAATTTCCTTTTTAGGGTTCCGTACCCAAAGGGTAAAAACTAAGGTTCCCCTATTACTAAGACTTCGCTATCCGTCCGTTCGTCCGTCCGTCTGTCACAAAGGTCTATCTTATGAACCGTTATATAGCTAGACAGTTGAAATTTTTACAGATAAAGTATCTATGTTTACAAATACTAAAAACAAAATTAAATAAATGTTTATAAATAAAGTACTTTCACTACACATTATCTTTTAAGTAAGAATTTTACATAGAATCTTTCAAGTCCTCGGTGGCCGCGTGGTTTAAAGCGTTAGTAATTTACGCTGCTATGACGTTGGCGCCGTAGTAAGGCAGGTTCGAATCCTAGTCAAGGGACTTTTTTTAATCGTTTTTTTTAATTTTTACATATTTTTACATATTTATTTTTACTTTTTACATATTTATTATAATAAATAATAATAAATAATGTTTATTCAAACTGATCCAATTACAAAGTATATACAAGACTTATACATAACTTACGAATACAAAATAGTGAATAAACATAATATCCTCTTAAGGTAGAACCTTGTCTGAGGAGTTTTATTTCTACAACAATAACTACAATATTTTATACTAAATTCTTAACTATATCTAAATGTATCAAATTAATATATTTCATTGTCCAACACTTAAGCACGCTAAAACACAAGTTATTACACAGCGGTCTTATCTCCTATATCTAGTATTTTATAGGAATAATTTAACGAACATTTTATAAGTACTACTACTCCATCATTTTTATTTAGACTTCCTTCATTATATATAATGTTGTATCCCGGTATCCCTATATAAATCAATATTCCAAATTTTAAAACTTTCAGTAAGTACTATACAATCAAATTAAAATCTATTCCACGTAAAAGAACAAGAAGCTCATCAAAATTGTGATCTATGCTACGAATATTATTATGAAAAAGTTTAAATGATGATAATTCAATGTCAAATTTACATATATTAATGTCATCCACCACATCTGCCTCAATCAACCTTGTTTCAAAGTCCCTAATATATGAATTCATTGTTATCTTATATGTTAAGCTTTTAAATATTTAACTTGCAATCTGACCCATATCGGAAACACCTAATTTTTCAAAAGAGAATAAAAGATAAAATATATATTTTTTTGTTTTACAATATACTCCAAATACCTTTAATAAAGAAACAAATAATCTATATTGGTTTATAAACGTCCATGTATTTACTATATATTTAAATATTAATAGTCTATTTATTTTTAGCCCAACACCAAATTAAATTTAAACATATAGTATATTTTAATTATTTAAAAGTCCCAAAAGTGCAGAGTCAAGTCGCGATATATGCTTATATCTCCAATTAGACTAAAATTACAAGGAAATTGTAGCCGCGCACAAACGAGCGCCATCAATGTATATAAATAATTCACTAACGTTTTGTTTAAAAAAAAATGTCTCTTTACACTTGACGACATCTTCATTTCTATACCGGCTTCGAGTAACTTCTTGTTGCTGGTCTTCCCTTATTAGTTGAAGGTAGGGATGCGGTTATAAGGCCAGCCGAACCCCTGCGAGTTTGCGTAGTCGATGTCCCGGATTAATGGTAAATTCAATAGTACTGGTCGGCTTAGCTTTTGGATCCGGATAGTGAGTTTCTTGCTTGTGACGCTCTATAGGTTGTACAGGTTGTTCGTTGACGGGTGTCCCCGGAGCACTTAGGGATGGTCTAGATGGAATATCGGTAAAGACTTCGCAATCAGATTCGTTACCTTTATTTCCTCTCTCCACCAATTGTTCGTAATTATAAGTTTCGCTGCCAATTACAAGAGTATCCCTTTTAATGTACGCCCTTAAACCCTTTTCCTTTGCCTCTTTTAAATTTTGTTTGAGTACCTTGTTCACCACTCTCTCTTTCTTGGAAAGATCGTGGTTAATAAAAATGTTCTTTCCCTTCAGCTTATAGGCGCTTCGAAGAATCAATGCCTTTTTTAAATATGAATTGAGTTCTATACGTAGCGGTTTCGTTGAGTCGTTTCCTAAGTAGTATAAATTGTTTATATCGCTTATATTTATATCTACTTCTAACAGATTTCTTAGTTGCTCGGTTACCCAAGTAGCTAATTCAAAGTCCTTTAGGTTTCTGTGATCCCGTAGCCCAAATATTATCAAAATGTTTTTTTTAAATTACTTATACGCGCATTCAACATTTCAGCTAAATCGAAAAAAAAGTTTATAATAATATAGTGTCTAATGTTGCATAGATAATGAATGGTACGGAACCCTTCGTGCGCAAGTCCGACTTGCCCTTGACCAATTTTTTATTACATTATAGAAATAACAAAATGTGAAAACCAAACTAATTTCATCAAAAGCAAGAACATTTTAGTATTTTTTTAGTGTTGCTTAATAGCCGTAAAAAACTTATCGCAACTTTATTAGAATATTTTGAACGGAAAAACGGTAGTTTATGTCCTTTGTTTTATGTCCCTTAAGTCCTGTTAAGGAGGTGAGTTTTGTTTATGTAAATAATAACTTTATATATTTTTATAATTAATTCATGTTTTTTTCCTAAAATATTTGGATTAAAAGAAAATATGTAAAAGAGGGCAACGCTGTGCCGTTCAAGCTTAATCACGTGACTAAAAGTTTATTTGATATGAACTATAGTAATGCATAATAATTGTAATAAATTTATTTTTTATTCAGTATGTTGCTTACGACTTAAATTATAAAAAAATATATTATTTTTATCCTAGGAACTATAATAAAGCTGTATTATATCCATTTTGACGAAGAAAGATATTGCCAAGATCTTGGTGGAATGTGCAGCGAGACGCGTGTAGCCTTAATCTCTTATTGTCGGAAATCAAGACGTATGCTGTCCAATGAACGTTTCTGGAATGTGTTAGTGTTTCAAATTATTTAGAAAGTAAATATAATCTTGGACAGAAAACGTGCGCATTTTTCAGGATCGTTGATAAATCCCGGTGACATTATTCTTAATTCTGGTAAAACGACTAAAAATATTTTTCTCTTTTTCTTCGCCAGGTTGTTTTATTAATAAATATGAAAGTATATTTATTATCCCTTTTATATATTGCAATGACAAAAAATGTGTAGCTCGTCAAATATAAGATGATATAGTGAATTGCTCGATGCTACATTCACCTCTCGATGTGAAGCAAACAATCAGATATCAATAGAAGCTGGGCGGCGTCCATTGGTTCACGTTCAAACGAGGGGTGTCTCACTATTGGAATTACATCTATATTTTCTTGGCAGTCATTGGCAGTCTTACGGCAGTCACCATTAATTCACCTTATAATAAATACATGGCAGTCATAGGCAGTCTTCTTCACAATCATTGGCAGTCGCTTGGCAGCAAAATGATATTTTGGCAGTACATGTACATTTTTTACCCAAGTGAGACACCCCTCGCGTTCAAACAAATCAGTTCGGGAGGGAGTCGGGACAAATCTTACGAAACCTCACCGGCAGGGAAAGGGAGAAGCAATTCACAAGGGGGATGCCCCCTTTGGTTATATGATAAAAAGACAACATAAAAAAACGTATTTACACACACTATACAGGGTGGTCCGAACTGTATTCCGGAAACTTCGACAGCATATTCTGCAGATAAAAATAAGTAAAAAAGTTCGTATAAATGTATGTCCTGAAATGATTTGTTTCGGAGATACAGGGTGTAGAAGTTTCATTTTTATTTCAATTTTTTCCAAATGGTTTCTGAAGTAACGTTAATATTTGAATGAAAATTGGTGTTTGGGAGTTTTTTATATACGTGTGTTTTAACTGTTTTGAAGCGTAATAACTTTTCGTCCGTACCTGTATGTAACTACTGACCGAGAAAATATACATCTCCGTTTCACATAATAAATGTCTCTTGGTACGAGTAATCCGTACGAGTAACCGTTCTCAAGATATTTAGAATGGAACTAGTTAATACATGTCATTATTGACAAAAAAATAAACACGTTAAGTATAGATAGTTATTTGACTGAAATAATAAATTTGGGAAATTTTTATTTTTTTAAATTAATCATAAATGTTTCTGCTTTAAGGTGCCCGGTGGCGTAGAGGTACAGGCTCTCGTCTACCAATCTCCAGGTGTGGGTTCGATTCCTACACCCGGCATTTCATCAGCCGACAATTTTTATTAAAATAAAAATAGTTTGGGTACCTAGGTCGACTCAGCCTTAAATGAGTACTTGGGATTCACAATCCTGAGGTAATAAGAGGCGGTTGAAGCGTAGTGCTATCCACATTACCTTCCTTGTATACCGAACGGCTCTAGCATGACAAGCTGTACCTTGCTACTCCCAAGGTGTTACGCGCTATATACGGGAGCTATTATTATATATAAATGTTTCTGCAAAAAAACGATGATAAAACAGTTTCTGTTGAACTTTTGGCACAAATACATTTCAAATTTATGATTTCAATATAATAACTATTTACTCAACATGTTTAATTTATGTCAGCGATGACAGGTATTGATAATTTCGACTCCAAATATCTCGAGAACCACTACTCGTAGCGATTTTTACCTAGAGACCTTTCTTACGTAGAAAATGTAAATGTATATTCTTTTGCTAAGTAGTTTTATACAGGTACGGACAAATAGTTATTACTCTTCAAACCAGTTTAAAAATATGTAGGTGGCGCCATCTACAAGTAGGAGTCATATTGATGGAAAATAAAACACTAAATCACCACAATACACCAAAACACTTATACTTTTACATTGGACGCGCGTTTCGCTAACCATGTTAGCATTATCAGCAGATGATTATAAACTAAAATACAATCTACAATTGGAGCGTTTATATACTCGCTCAGTGGGCACAAAGTGGGCGTGACAAGATCTAGCCAACCGAGTCAGAACCCACCGAGCGTAACAGTTAGATTTCCGCCACTAGAGTAGTAGGAACAAAGAACTTGAATGAATTGGACCGTTGTCTCTGTTCATACTATCTTTACATTTATTAATTCTGATGCTTTCTTCTTCTTCTTCTGCTGCTATCCATTAATGGATGTTTGCGATGAGTTCTGACCATCTTTCTCTCTCTCCGGTGGCGTGAATTAATTCTCCTGTAGTTCTTATTCCCGTCCAATGTTTAACATTTCGGAGCCACGACATCCTCTTCCTGCCCAATCCCCTTCTTCCTTCTATCTTTCCTTCTATTATTAGTTGGAGTAAATGGTATCTCTCATTGCGCATAACATGTCCCAGGTACGCTGTTTTTCTGCGTTTTATTGTGCTTAGCAGTTCACGCTCTCTCCCCATCCTCCTCAGGATTTCCTCGTTGGTCTCTCTTGCTGTCCATGGGATTTTCAAGATTCTCCTGTAGACCCACATCTCGAACGCTTCCAGCCTGTTCATGTTTCTGACTTTCAATGTCCAGCCTTCTATACCATATAATAACACGGACCATACGTAACATTTTGTAAATCTTACTCTAAGGTCAAGGTCAAAGTCAGAGTTGGTTAAGACGTTTTTAAATTTCATAAATGCGCTCCTCGCTTTTTCTATACGGCACTTGATTTCCACGTCCGAAGACCAGTCTTCACATACCCAAGTTCCCAGATAGCTGAACTTTTTTACCCGTTCACGGTATTTACCCGTTCACTCACTGATGCTTTCATATGCATCTAATTGCCTGTAATTTGAGACTTGTTTAAGTAATTTTAAGTTATTAAGATCTATACAATGTTCTTTATCGACAATATGTTCGGCAACGCAAGATTTATCAGGTCTACCATACCTTATCTGAGCTAAATGTTCTTTAAATCTAGTTAATATTGATCTTCTAGTTTGCCCAACATATTTCTAATTACAATCTTTACAAGAAATTTCATAAATACCCGACCTTTCCAGTAGAGGTGTTTTATCCTTTGGATTACCTAATAATTGTTGTAATTTATTATTAGCACTATACACAAGTTTATAATTGACATTCTTAAAAATTCCTTTTAGACCACTGGATAACTGTCTATCAAACGGTATTGAAAAATATTTTGACGTATCTTTCTCCACTTGTAAAGTCGAATTTTCAGAAATCATTAACCTATACCTATATTTTATCAACTAGTGAAAGAGAATATCGATTACACTCAGCTACATTCCTAATGTAATCTCTTTCTATTTCATATCTTTCGTTGGAAAGTGGAAAACTAAGTAATCTATGAACTAAGAAATTTAAACTAGCCATTTTATGTTCAATGCTATGATATGATTCATTAGGAATATATCTGCGTGTAGTGGTATTTTTCCTATAGATATCAAATTCCAGGCAATTATTCGTATTTCTAATAACTAATACATCTAGAAATGGTATTCTGTCGTTGTTCTCAGTTTCATGTGTAAATTTAATGGAAGGAAAACGATTATTTAACTTAGAAATAAAATTATCTATGGTGTCTGAATGTGTGTCAAACACAGCAAAAATATCATCCACATACCTAAACCATACTCTTGAAAAATACTCAAACTGATTCTTAGCCTCCACTTCAAACGTGCTCATGAATAAATTAGCCAAAAATGGAGACAATGGATTGCTGTACCATTGCTGTACCTTCCCGCTGTTCAAAAAAGTTGTTATTAAATTGAAAACAATTTTGTTTCATGCATAATGATGTAAGTTCAATATATTCAATCACAGTTTTGTTGTCGAGACCATTTGCGTTCAGTAATTCCTTCAAGTCGCCTAAAGTATGTGGAATTGGAACACTTGGGAACAACGAAGATAGATCAAAGGAGACCTAAAATTTTACCTTCATGCAATGTCATATTTTTAATTTTGTTAATGAATTCAATATTATTTTTAACTAAGAAAGAAGGTTCATGATTAGGTAAATTTTCGAACTCCCTTGATAACCATTTTGCCAAATTATAAGTCGGAGAATCTACAGCCGAAACAATTGGGCGCATAGACTTGTCCGGTTTATGAATTTTTGGCAACGCATACAATTTTGGTAATGAGGGATTGGATACTTGCAATTTTCTCTTTAAAGAAAAATCAATAAGGTTGTTACATTCTTTTAAAGTTTTTTTAACATCTGTTACCATCTTAGACAAAGGATTCTAAGTTACAAGTTTTGCCTTGCTGTACGTTGCTCTAGTTTTGTATACCAAGCAACTGCTCCATAAGTAATTATGGGTCTTACTATCATAGTATACATCCAGCGCAAAATGTTAGGGGCGCAGCCCCACCTATTTCCCGCCAGTCTTCTGCATATCATGAGAGCCTTTGTGGCTTTGCTGGTAATGTTCTTAATATGCCTATTCCAGAGAAGTTTACTATCCAGGGTTATTCCCAGATATTTCACTTGCTGTGATGGCAGTATTTCCTTTCCATCTAGATGCATTCTTTTCAAGTTTTTCAAACTTCGCTTTCTGGTGAATGGCACTACTGCGGTTTTATCTGAGTTAATACTCAGCCCGACAGTCCTGCACCATCTCTCAGCGATGCGGAGTCCTCTTTGGATAATATCACACAGGGTGCCTTCATTTTTCCCCCATGCAATCCACTACCAAGCTCCACAGTAGGGGGGTCACTCCACCTTGTAGAGTTCCTTGCGTTGTTTTAACAACTACAGTTTTGGTACCTATCTCACCCCCTGCTGTTCGTGTTGAGAGCATTTCTCAAAACCAGCGAATTATCGTACTGTTCACCCCTCTTGTTTCAAGAGATCGCTTGACCGGGGGGGGGGGGTGTCAAAAAATACTCAAAAACGCTTCATGTAATTAATAGACGCCCCCCCTTAGGCCAATTTGTTTTTAAGTAAAAAACCACTGAGCGAGTTTGTTTTCGTTTAAATTATAATCCCTTAGCATTTTACAAAAATAACTTTTTATCTTTTAGCTTGTTGCTACTGATAGTAATGAGTACTAAAATGTTTTATATTGAGTAAAAAAAGTATTTTTATATTATTTTCAATCTAGAATTCTAAACATTCCAATGGCTACCTGCTAAAATATACATTATAAAACAGTGTAACAAAAATTCCTCTAAACCAGCTCTAATATAAAATATTCTGTAGTCATTGTAAAAGAAACAAAAATATAAGAAATAAAAGAAACAAAAATATAAGAAAAGTAATTTTCCAATTTAGTTCATTTCCAAAGTGGGAGATTTAAAAAAGTAAAAAATATTTTATTAGGTAGAACCAATTTAACGTGGGCAGGCTTAAGCCACAAGAATTTTATTTATCTTTAATAGAAGAAGTTCTGCCTGTGGGCGGATAAATGAGATTTCTTTCTGTTTAATTTTATTATCACAAATAGTTTTATTGCGAGTCAAGCAATATATAAGTACCGAATTTTGCTTTATGAAATTAAAGGACTTGGTCAGGTAACTAAGAAAGAATTAAAAAAAATAAAGTATTGTTACAAATTTCTTATAATACATAAAAATACTGCAGTAATAGTTAACTAGGTAGTACAGGGTGCTCCAAAAACGTGTACCATCTCTCATGGAGAGATTACTTAATATAGGACCGATTTTGCTTTGTTTCGTAGCTACAGGGGGTTAAAGTTTTCATTTTTTTTTTCGATTTATTATAATTTTCTTCCAAGTCTTTTTCTTTTACTTATTTGAGATCTAGTCGATCTATTAATTTTAAGGTTGCCTCTGTAGGAGTTCTTGGGAGATGGACTGCCAACTATCTTTCCATCTTTTTGGAGGTCTTCCCGGCTGTCTCTTATCCATGGGGTTCCCTTCAATAGCTATGCGTGGTAGCCTGTTTACTTCCATGCGTTTTACGTGTGCGAACCAATATCTTTTTCTTTGCCTACCATCTCACTACGTCCTATATTCCACATTGTTGTCTGACATTTGTGTTTCTAATTCTGTCTTCTCTATTATGGTTCTTAGGATTTTCATTTCAGCGACTCTTAACATGCTTTTGGTCTTGTTTGTTTCCTCTCGGATATCTATGTCATGTCATTATTGGTCTGATGCAGGTCTTATAAATTTTAATTTTGCTGCCTGTTCACATGAAGGGATTTGTCCACACTATTTGCCTCAGACATCCTGACATGGCCCTTGTTATATTTAACTGGCTTCCCAGGACTTTCTCTAGATCATGATAGTGCCGAATATCTATTCCAAGTACATATTTCTTCCAAATACTTTTATTAAATCATTCATTTACTTCATTCATAAAGAATATCTGTATTAGGGGTCGTCAATTTTGATTTCAAGACAAGATCAAGACAAGAAATGATTTTTGGTTTTCAAGACAAGACAAGAAATTACTTCTCAAGATCAAGATTTCTTGACAAGAAATCGAGAAAATCGTGAAATTTTTTGAAAATATAAAATAAAAAAGAAATACTCATTTACTTAGGTATTTATATATTATATGAATACCTATCCATTAATTGATGGATAAAAAAATTATTAAGCAAAAAATATTTCTACGAGGCGGCACTTTGTCGGATGTCCAATGTCCAAAGTTGACATAAGTTCGTCCAAAATCGGATGTCCAAAGTTGGCATACTGTGGCCAAATTAAATTGGAACCTTTTTTAATGCCTAATAATTTTTTAATTTTTATATGTTTTTTTTATAATTTTTTGGATATGTTATGGCCTAAGATATTAGAATAAAAAAAAACTTTGCAAAGCGGGTCTACTTCAGTGGCATACAGACTTTTAGAATTAACGTAAAACTTTTAAAATAAAAAAATAATACGCCACTGAAGTAGAGTAGCTTTTATCATCGTTGTTTTGACTGTTTTTATCTGTAGTAGTATTATCACCGTCACTATATACTGTCAAAGTCACTAATTAAACTTCTACGTCCAGGTGTCTGAGGTGGTAGGTATTCTGAACCAGATTCAATTACGAATGGCTCAGATTTGCTGCTCAACAAACCATTACAACCACTCATTTTAATGTTAGATAATAATAATAATAATAATTAACAAAATTATGTAAATCTGATGATTTTGACTACTGTAGTATAATGAGCCCAAAGTTTTTGAATTTTTTGAAAATGAGATGCTTGACCCTCGATTTTACGCATAAACATCACATTAACCTTCACTATTCCCCTTTAATACACGAATTTTAAACGGGGGTTCCCCTTTTGTCAAGATATCAAGAAATCAACTCTCAAGAAATGGTCAAGACAAGATTTCTTTTTAATTCTTGAAAATATTTCAAGACAAGACAAGAAATTGCTTGTCAAGACAAGATTTCTTGTCTTGCCGATCTCTAATCTGTATAATTTCATAAAATATTTTTACAAGTCCGTGAGTAAGAGATATAGATATAGAGAATTATCGTTTCTTAATAAATATTAAAAAAACATTATAAAATTATAAAGTTAGAATAGTATACGGTTTTATATTAACTCAATTTTTTTTGGAAATTTATAAAAAGCATTCATAAAAAATATCATCATCATCATCATCATTTAGCTTATACCGTCCACTGCTGAACAAAAGCCTCCCTTAACTCTAGCCATTTCCTTCTATTTTGTGGCACTTGAATCCAGTTTCCAGCCACCCTCTTAATGTCATCTGTCCATCGACTAGGAGGTCGTCCTCTGCTTCTATAGGCCTCGTGTCCCGGTCTCCATTCCACAAGTCTCTTTGTCCACCGTCCATCTGTCATCCTAGCCACATGTCCTGCCCAATTCCATTTAAGATATAAGACAGATATCACCGCATCTCTTACTCCTGTTCGATTTCGTATTGTATGATTGGGTATTTTATCTCTGAGTGTAACTCCCAACATAGACCTTTCCATTTTCCGTTGCATGACCTGTATTCTATGTATGTTCTTTTTTGTCAAAGTAAGCGTTTCAGCTCCGTACGTGAGGACAGGCAAGACACACTGGTTAAAGATCTTTCTTCTTAAACATATGGGAATATCAGATCTCAGTATATGCCTTAGTTTGCCAAATGCCGCCCATGACAAACCTATTCTTCGTAGATTTCGTGGGTCTGATTATCCCTTCTAATACCGATCTCATGCCCTAAGTATTTATATATATGCACTTGTTCCAAAGGTATGTTATTAATGTTTAAATTTCCACTTAGTACTAGGTTTGTCATGTATTGTGTCTTTGACAAGTTAATTTTCAAACCGACTTTTTCCGAAGCATCATTCAGCATATCCAGCATATTCTGTGCCTCCTGTATGTTGTCTGTTATTAAAATAATGTCATCTGCAAAACAGAGATGATTTATCAATTTGCCATCGATGTTAATTCCTGTTGAATCCCAGTTTATCATTTTTAGCATACTTTCTAGCACAGCAACGAATAGTTTAGGGGACAGTGTGTCGCCTTGTCTTACCCCTCGATCGATATTGAATTTATCTGTGCATTGATTTGTCGATATTCTGACGTTTGCCGTGGCATTATCATATATATGTCTTATGATTGAGGAGTATCGATGATCGATGCGACTCTCACTTAGTGTCTCTAGAAGCTTCCGCTGGTCTACCGAATCGAAGGCCTTCTCGAAATCCACGAAGACAAGCATTAGTGGTCTATTATACTCAATGCATTTCTCGATAAGGACCTTGACTGTTAGAAGATGGTCATTTGTTCCGTAACCTGATCGGAAACCTGCTTGTTCGCTCGAAAGAAAAAAGTCTATTTTATTTGTCAAACGCTTGGTGAGTATTTTAGTAAATAATTTGTATACGTGGCTAAGAAGGCTGATGGGCCTATAGTTTTTAAGGTCTGTAACGTCACCTTTCTTGTGTACAATAATGATGGTTGCGTTGTTCCACTGTGATGGGGTTATTTCTTCTTCAATGCATTTATTAAATAGGACATTTAAAGCTTTGATGATTTCTGGTCCTCCTTCTTGGATTGACTCTATTACCAGTCCATCGTCGCCGGCAGCTCTATTGTTTTTCATATCTCTAAGGGCACTGATAATTTCTTCCTCGGTTATTTCTGGAATTTCTTCCGACCCCTGATTTATTACCTTTCGGATGTCGGTTCTGATCCCCTGCTGTTTTGATGTGTAAAGTTCTTGATAGAAAAGTTAATAGAGTGTAGGATTTCCTGTTTGTGTGTTACTATGTTGCCGTGCATATCCTTGATCTTTTGTATTTCTTTTCTTCCCATTGTACTATTTCTCAATACCTTCAAACTTTGATTCTTCTCTATGACGTTCCTAATTTTTTCCGTATTCTGTTGCCTCCTATGCTTTCTGATTTCTTTGGGTATCTCTCTATTTAAAGTTCTATATTCTTGTGTACTCTTGTCCTCCATATCTCTTCTCTGTTTCATTAAAAGTTCTGTTCTTTGATTCAGTTTTTGTTCTTTTACTTTTTTGGGACAAAATTTTTCGATAGCTGTTTGAGTGGCCCCTTTGATGTTTTCGTATATTTCGTCTATCGTATTAGTATTTTCATAATTTAGATTTGAGGCTATACATTCCTTATAAGAATCTTTATTTTCAGGGGCAACCCATTCCTTGTGGTTTTTCTTGAGTATCATGTTAGTTCTTTCCTTCTTTATATTTATTTTTATCTCGGCTCTTACAATGCGGTGATCGCTGCCTATCGAAAATCTGTTTAATACACTTACGTCTTTGATTACATCTTTTCTATTGCTGATTATGAAATCTATTGCATTTTTGGTTTTGCTATCTGGACTGGTCCATGTCCACTTTTTGCTGTTTCTTTTCTTGAAGAAGGTGTTACAGCGAATTATACAGGGTTGTTCACCACATACGACACGGAGTATTGTAGCTAAACGACTAGATTTTTAAAAATTGTAAGTTTTGGGTTCGTTGAAGGACTATTAGAGCTACAATTTAAAAATATTTTTACAAGATACAGAGTGTCCCAAATAAAAAAAAATATCAAAGTTGTATTTTTTTAAATAGAACACCCTATATATTATTACATTTTTAGTTTCTACTATTAAAATAAAGGTAAATTTGATTAAGGTTTATTATACTTAAACCTTACCGTTTTTGAAATATTTTCAATTTTGTGAAATTGCAGTATAAATTTTAAGGCTTCATTTCTCCGAGGGTATCAAAGTTTTTAATACTTAATATTTACAGAAGTTTATTTATTGATCAGTTATTGTGTTGCAATAATAAAAACTTTACTACCTTATACAGAGTGTCTAAAAATTTATTTTAAATAATTACTAGCTTTAAACGGCAATAATTTGTTTAATTTAAATGGAACACCCTGTATATTTTATGAGAATCAGATGCAGATTTTTTACCTATCTCTTCAAGTTTCCGTAGAAAATGCATTTTCTTGTAATTTAGAACTCATTTATCAATATACCCATGGAATACTGACATTTTAGATTATTTTTAAAAACGTACCAAATTTCTAAAGAGTACAGATACTAATATTGTCGATATAGTTCGTTTATTTCATTAAAAAATAAAAAAAAAACTGTTTAAATATTTGTTGACTGTTTGCATTGATTAATAATAATTGCTCAAAATACTAAAAAACTGAATTATGTATGTGTATTAGACAGTGTGGTAAAAAGTAACACCTTAAAAATGATATTTAATTTTTTGACAAATGCTTATTTATAACTTCATTTTCATAACTTATTATTATATTGATTTCTGATTCAAATCCACATTTATTTAGAATAATTTATTAACTAACATAATTAAGTATGTAGTTAATTAGTATTTGGGCGGAAATACTGGTGGTATATTTAATTAATGGTATACTCTTTTATAAAGATTTAAATAGTTTTCTTTTTGCATACAAATGGGCTAGTAATATTATCGTTTTACTAAAAACTAGCCTGTACATTTTGTACATTTGTTGTTTTAAAAACAATCTAAAATGTCAATATTCCATGGGAATATTGATAAATGAGGTCTAAATAATAATAAAATGCATTTTCTACGAAAACTTGAAGGAATAGGTAAGAAGTGGTATAATACAATTTGATAGACAATTAAATTGTACATCTGATTCTCATAAAATATACAGGGTGTTCTATTTAAAGTAAATAAGTTATTGCCGTTTAAAGCTAGTAATTATTTAAAATAAATTTTTAGACACTCTGTATAAGGTAGTATAATTTTTATTATTACAGCACAATAACTGATCAATAAATAAACTTCAGTAAATATTTAGTATTAAAAACTTTGATATCCTCGGAGAAATGAAGCCTTAAAATGTATACTGCAATTTCGCAAAATTGAAAATATTTCAAAAACGGTAAGTTTTAAGTGTAATAAACCTTAATCAAATTTACCTTTATTTTAATAGTAGAAACTAAAAATGTAATAATATATAGGTTGTTCTATTTTAAAAAATATAACTTTGATATTTTTTATTTATTTGGGACACTCTGTATCTTGTAAAAATATTTTTAAATTGTAGCTCTAATAGTCCTTCAGCGAACCCAAAACTTACAATTTGTAAAAATCTAATCGTTACAATATTGCGTGTCGTATGTGGTGAACAACCCTGTATATAATTTGTTGTTGTGTGCGAAATCTATCAGTGTATCACCTCTTTCGTTTCGACTTCCCGATCCATGATAGCTGACTGAAGTTTCCGCTTCATCTTGTTTGCTACCAACGTTGGCATTAAAATCTCCAATTAACATTGTATAGTGTGTTTTTCTATTTTGTAGAGCAATGGATACATCTTCGTAAAAGTTCTCCAATTCGTCATCTGTACTTTCGGTAGTTGGTGCATATGCCTGAATAACCTTTACAGAGTATTTTTTATTTAATTTGATTTTTAAACATATGACTCGTGGGCTTATGTTTTTGACATCTACAATCATATCGTTGTGTTTTTTGTGGACTAGGATTCCAAAGCCTCTTATGGCAGTTTCTTCACCTGAGTAGCATAATGTATTTCCGGACTTCAAAATAACCTGTCCCTCTCCTATCCTGCGGGCTTCTCTTATACCCAGTATGTCCCATTTTAAATTCTTAAGTTCTTCTTCCAGTTCTAGAAGTTTTTCGTCCGATAACAGTGTTCTGGCATTGTGTGTTGCAATATATAGTGAGTGTGGTCTTTGGCAGATTCTCTTCATTTTTGTTGTTGGTGCAAGCGAATTTTTGCCTCCCCCAGAATCCTCGAGGCAGACCTTTTTCAAGGTCTGGGAGTTGACATTCGTTCTACCCACCTGGGGTACACTTTCCTTTTCTGTTTTAGAATTCGCCATGTCTTTGGGGTTTTTAGCCATAATCTTCCACGTTGGCCAAACGTCTTGAAAGATTGGATTTGATATAAACAGGGAAATTTTTTAGGTTTGGACAGGAACTGAGGATAGGACTGTATGGAATTTGGAGATAAAAAAAAATCCCTCAACTTAATAGCTGTCAGTTCTAATTAACACAACGAAGGATCACTGACCGAAACGTTGTGTTAATCAAAAATAAATAAAGACAAATCCGAAATTCTTTTAATTCTTTTATTATACAAAATCATTCGTGTTTTACTAGGAAACGTAGTTGTACTTAAGTACTACTTTTTTTTATTAGGGTGTTTTCTTAATAACTGTTTTATAATATTATTTCTTCTATTCAATAACGGTACAAATTTATTCTAGAACTGAAAAATAACGTTTACCTTATATTATTTTCAGTGACCATTAGCTTTTACAGAAGCTCAGACCAGTCTATCGGATTTGTGTCTCTTGTCCACACAATATTTGACCTAACGATTTAAAGCTGATTATATTTTTTGTGGTTTTAAACGAGGGTTGACAAAGGCATGATTGACGTGGTATTTTGAATTAATAATCGTATTTTCCAAATAAATATGAATTTATTTTGGACAGTATTTTCCAATATTTCAGTTATTGTACTTATTATTTATATTGAAAGATTAAGTAGATATATATTTTTAAATAATAATAAATGTTTTATCTACATACTAGCTGACCCGGCAAACATTATTACGGCATAACTGATCAAGTTAATTGATCAGCTTTAAATTGTTAGTTTTATTAATATATTGCTGCCATAGATTTTTGATGTTCTTGTAAAATACTACGTCTTTTTAAGATCATAGAAAGGTTGGTTAAAAGAAGGCTGGCATCTGTTTAAATACTAAATCAATTGAAAAAATGAAATTGAAGAACACCAATTTGGATTTCTAAGCAACAAGTCCACAAATGACGCTATGTTTTCCCTCCTTAATAAAGTTTACTCTAAGCCTAAATAACCATCATTCTACAGCAACAATTTTCTGTGATTTTTCTAAGGCGTTCGACTATGTAAATCATAAGATCCTAATTAATAAACTGCAGTACTATGGGTTCAGGGGAGCATCTCTCGAATGGTTTCTGCAGTACTATGAGTTCAGGGGAGCATCTCTCGAATGGTTTAAGTCGTATCTGAGCAACAGAAGTCAACTTGTGAGGGTGGATAGCATATTGTCTTCTAGCAAGCCAATAGAATGTGGAGTACCACAAGACTCAGTACTAGGCCCTATGTTGTTTCTTCTTCTTATTAACGACATTGCTAACATAAACATCAGTGGTAAAATATGTCTTTTTGTGGACGACACTAGCTTCACTTGGAGCAACAAGGGCGTCACGGCACTTCATAGGATTATATCAAATGACTTAATCGCCATTAAATCTTGGTGCGATTCGAACCTCCCCAGTCTCAACATTTCTAAAACTAAAGCTTTTTCGTATAAAAACTCGCTGCAGCCTTTTGTACTTAACAACAACACCATTGACGGCGTAAAATCTGTAAAATTCTTAGGGCTTGTTGTAGACAGTTCTCTGAAATGGGACATGCATATCGACGCTTTGTCGAAAAAATTAAGCTCTGCCGGTTTTGCATTAAGATCTGTTTCTAAGGAGCTTAACTTGTTAGTGGCTAGAACTGTTTATTATGCACTTTTTGAGTCGCACCTCAGATATACCCTTCCATTCTGGGGTACGTATTGTGTGACTTGTGTGATTATTTGACCGCATTTTCAAGCCCCGGAAGAGAGTGGTTCGATATTCACTGGGACTAAACAGCAGAATTCATTGCCAGGACTTTTTTAAAAAATTAAAAATATTAACTCTTCCTGAAAGGCCATCTCACACTTATCCACACAGGAACGCGGAGCAAGATCTTTATCTACCTACCCCACGCTCAGAGTTAGTTAAAAGTTCAATATTATACAACTCGAAAAAAATGCACAATCACCTGCCATTTGAAATCAAATCCATAACATAATTTTCTTCATTTCGCAAAGCATTGAAATCTTATTTACTAGACAAGGCTTTCTACGCCGTAAATGGCTTATATTTTGATGATCCAATTTGATCTTGTAAGCACTGGTCTAATATTTGCTATTACTATATATTTAGTATAAACTTACTAAATATTTTTGAATCTTATTTTTATTTTTTTATTCTTTGACATTGAAAACATTTATAAATGTTTATTTTAAACAATAAGACTGACAGTGTAATTTGTATACATGTTTTGTATTCTCTTTTGTTTGTTTACTTTACCTTTGTCTACAAATTGTAAATTTTTTTGGCAATAAAGGCATTTATTTATAAACGTGTTTCTAAGGGTTAAGGTCAATACTGGCAACTTCAATTTTTAATTTACAAGAATATCTACACAAGATCTTTCAATAATAGACTGTTAAACTTTTGGGTTCTTCTTCATAGCCATTTTTTTTAAATATTCGACATCTACTGCGATAGTTTTGAAAAATTCATCTAAAGTTTATGATTTTGATTTTTCTCCAACTTCTTGAAATTCTCACTTCCAAGTTTAGCAGTTTGAACAATTTGCTCATTTCTTTCAGTGAATTAGTAACAAATTTTGTATAAATTCTGGTAATAGTATACAATCATTATGTGTATTACATACAGTGTGTCAATTTTAAAACTCCCCACCCTTAATATCTTTCTTGCAGTTAAAAATATGAAAAATCGGAAAAACACGGCAATTTTATTAGTAAGGGGGACACTTTAAATAAATATTTTTGGCCTTTTTCTTTTAACCCCTTAGGAAGGGTAGATGTCACCCTTGCAATCTTAAATGGGAATGGGGGTCAAGTGGCACATCGTTTTAAAGGGCATTTAATTCTCTTTTCAGTGGTATCCTACTTTGTTGCTTTTTGTTCAGATATTTCCGAATAATCGCGTTTCAAAGTTGCAGAAACAATTAAACATGCCTGCATTGAGATTTTGGTTTTCAGGCTAGTGTCTACACAAAAATTATTGCAATAGATCTCCTTGTAGTACAAATGACTAGAATATTAGGTGGTAACAAGGACGTAGCCATTACATTTTAGGGGGTCGAAATTCGAAATACTAATAAACAGAAAACATCATAAACATTAACGTTTCCTTTATCAAATTTGAATGAGTGGCAACCTCTAATCAGTTTCACAGGAGGATTTGTTAACATTCCAGCAAGACGGTGCTATAGCTTATTATTTTTTTCCGGTCCGACATTGGTTAAACGAGAGATTTCCGGGTACATGAATTGGCAGAAGGAGACCAATTGAATGGCTTTCAAGATCACTTAGACTTTTGTGTTTTTGGGGGGACATTTTAAATCCATTTTTTATAAAACACAATCTACTGATATTGATGATCTTAAATTACAGCAGAATGCCAGTCAATTCCTGGTGAAGTTTTCCAAGATGATAATGAGATGTTTGAAAACAGACTTTATTACTGTTTACAGGAAAATGGACAACATTTTGAACAACTTATAAGATAGGGCAAGTAAGTGGTGTAACCTAATCTTCTAATCATCTGTACTACAGGAGATCCATTGCAATAACTTTTGTGTAAACACTAACCTGAAAACCAAAATCTCAATGCAGGCACGTTTAATTGTTTCTGCAACTTTGAAACGCGATTATTCGGAAACCTCTTGATAAATAGCAATAAAGTAGGATACCACTGAAAAGAGAATTAAACGCCCTTTAAAACTATGTGCCACTTGACCCTCATTCTCATTTAAGATTGTAAAGGTGACATCTACCCCTCCTAGGGGGTTGAAAGAAAAAGGCTAAAAATATTAATTTAAAGCGTCCCCCTCACAAATAAAATTGAGATGTCTTTCCAATTTTTCATATTTTTAACTGCAAGAAACATATTAAAGGTGGGAAGTTTTAAAATTGACACACTGTATATACCTAAATTCAACAATTTCCGAATTATGAAGTTTTCATTTTGAAATGTTAACGAAAATTTTGTAAAATCCAGACTTGATCTCATTTTATACATCTACTAGCGTGTACCAGCGACTTCGTTCGCGTCGAATTAATCATTTGTAATGGTGATGATCAAGCAAAGCAAGAATTTCCATTAACATACAAACTGGATAAAATTTTCTCACATTTATGTCAGCATGAGAAAAAACAATATGACGATATTATTGTATAACATGGTAATATTTGAGGGGTAGTTTCATCTCGTTGGAACTTGACTTTCGAAAAATCCGTTTGCCAAAAATAAGCTTTTTACGTCAAGCAGTTTAAGCAGAATCGTGGTTAAGAAATTACCCAACTTTTTGGAACACCCTGTATGATTTTGTAAAAAATTTCAAAATATGTAAAAAAACCAAATAAATTATGCTTGTTCAAGCGTTTTCCCGAAAGACTAACTGTTTTTTAAATAACAAATATTTTAATATTTGAGGGGCGTTTTCACCCTCTTGGAATTTGAGATACGATAAACCCCTCCTTATCGAACCTCTACACCCCACAGTCAATCCGTTTTCCAATAAGCAGCTTTAAACGTCTAGCAGTTTAAGCAGAATCGTGATTACTCATTTAAGCAGAATCGTGATTACTCAATGGTCATATTTTATGAAACACCCTGTATAAATGTATAAAAAATCTTAAAATGTGTAAAACTACAAAATAAAATTTACGTGTTTAAGAGTTTTTCCGAAAAACTCACCGGTTTTTAAGTAAAAAATATTTTAATATTTGAGGGATAGTTTCACCCCCTTAGAATTCGAGTTTCGAAAAATCCCTTTTTATCGAACCTCTACACCCTAAAGTCAATCTGTTTTCCAAAAATCAGCTTTTTACGTCAAGCGCTTTAGGCAGGATCGTGATTAATCAATGACCAGATTTTTCGAAACACCCTGTATACATTTTTAAAAATCTTAAAATATGTAAAAAACAAAATAAAATATACGTGTTTAAGGGTTTTTTCGGAAACTTGACCGTTATTTAAATAAAAAATATTGTAATACT